CAGGAACGAAGAGCTCCCCAAGGCCCTCAGCCACTCTGATAAGGCTGAGCTGTTTGTTTGGTCCCCTTGGGCTCCATGCTACCTGCCTCGCTGCCAAATGCTTCCTGCAAACTTTGGGGGGGAGTTCTTCATTGGCTGTAGCATGACTGGGAGCGTGGGGCTTTGCATGCGTAATCTGCAGAGCCTCCTCTGGCCTCCCAGCCCCATGCCTCATGCTGCCCTGGCCTCTTTGCTCCAGTCCCCATCTGCAAATCCAGTCCTGGTGGCCCACCGCATTGCTGATTGATCTGCAGCCCCTGGCAGTGCTCTCTACCCCTGCTGCGTGCAGTGCCTACCAGCCCTGCTGGGCACCCAGACCGCTCCGGCACAGCTGCCTTGCACTCTGGTAACGCCCCATGACTCCTGTTGCCCTAGGCCTGGCTGTTTCCTGCCCTGCCATACCCCGTGTCCAGGGCTGCTTTGGGGGGGCAAGGCACTGGGGTGTGCTGGGCCCCCAGGAGGGGAAGGAGGGCCTTGCCTTGCTGCTGGGCCCCACGTTGGCTCAGGGAGCCTGGATTCAGACACACGGGCAAAGCGTTGCACTCAGCCGAGCCAGTGGTCTCTGGACAAGGGAAGGCCTGGGGCCACATTTCACTGCTGTGGTTGCTTCTTGGGAACTTCATGGCACAAAAGTCAAAGGGGCCGGGGAGAGCAGAGAGGCAAAAGGCTGCTGGGTCAAAGAGTGTGGGCCAGCCTCTCCGTCCGCTCCTGCAACCCCTTTGGTCCCTCTGTAGCCAGACCCCGTGGCCCCTTGCCCTTGCCAGGTTCTCCACCACCTCCAGTGGTGGCACTGACCTCTCCTGCTGCCGCTTGCTTCCCTGGAGATGGGCTTTGGGCTGCCGTGAGCAGGGCTGCACAATGATGCTGAGTCCATTTAGCCCAGTCACCCCAATGACTCCATCTCCCACCCCAGCAAGGGGGAAGTCCCAGCATAGGCAAGCCCAGACCATCTCTGCCAGGGCCCTTCGCCTTTCTCCATTCCCTTCCCACAACCCCCCACGCACACACAGGCCCTGATCCACAGCCGTCGTGGCAAGCTGATGTTATGCGCTGGCTCCATGACACGGACCATGGCGCCAGGGGCCCGTCCATCAGGGGAACGTCCCCTCCAAAGAGGTGGGAAGATGCTTTACCACCACTGTCCCTGCCACCATCTTGAATGGTGTCTCAGGGATCACAGCGCATCACTTCAACTGCCTGCTTGAGCATGGAAGGAAGTGAGCTGTCTCAAGGCAGAAATATGATTTACAGGATAACACGGCGTGCGGAGAGAAGGGAGAGAGAGACGCGAGCAACGGGGCCAGCATTCTGATGACTGCAGCATCCGATGACACGCGGAGCTGTTAATTAAGGGCCTGGGGAAGGCTGGGTGTGTGCCGCCGACTGACGGGGGCTCTGGGGGGCTTTGTCGGGCAGGATGAAAGCAGGTTAGCATTCAGGAGACGGGAGAGTGGCACGAGCCGGAGCCTGCTCGTGGCTTCTGGGATGCTGCGGCCTGGTGCAGGGAGCCTCTTTGCATGACTGCAATGAGCACATCTGTTGCATGCTGGGGGGTGCTGGGGCAGGGGCTGCACCAAGGGCATCTTTGCTCCTCGGTGTCAGCAGCAGTCTGCAACCGGGATGCAGGAGCGCCCTGCCGTGTATTCCGGATGAGAGTCCTCGGGGTTTGCGCTGACCTGGGCTGGGCACTTTTCTTCTGGCCCTGGGAGGTGAAGGGCCCCAGTGGTCAGACCTTGGGGCCACGCAGCTGGCTGTGCGCTTGGAGGGGAGCTCAGGACATGTTGGCGTTGTATTGAGAGGGGGCACAGCCCCAGATGCCCAGCTCGGGGTCTGTGCTGGAGGGACTCTTCCAGACAAGACTTGCCGGCCCCATGTGGTCATCCAGGATCCCCACAGCAACCCTGAGAGAGTCCAAGGCAGGCAGTGTCTCCACCTGCCCACCTCACCCCTGTGAATGCATGGGACACAGCATCGCCTTGCACTGCGAAGCGGCTGGTCCGCTCCACCCCAGAGGCTGCTCCCTCCCAGCCGCAGCGGGGAGCAACTCCAGCACCCGAACCCTGGGAGATCGTGAGTCCATTTGCCCTCCAGAAAAGACAAGACCCTTTCTTAGTGCCAGACAAGCGGGATCCAGAGGCTCAGGTGGACGGCAGAGGTCTTGGGCCTGGATGGCTTTGTAGAAAGGAGCGATATTGTTCTCCTGGCTGTTATTGTGAGAGCTGCAAAGTGTGGCCTGAGCCTGACGAGAAGGAGAGAGATGGAGGTCGGGCGAAGACTTTCCTCCCCTGATTCGGCTTTGTTGTTTATACAAAACCCCGCTCACCACTGACACCATCACTACTATCCATCTGCTAACTCGCATACAGCCTGATCCTGATAGTCTTGTATTTGCAAGAGACAGCGCCATGTATCGCTGTCTCCATCAGGTCAGGGAAGGGCTGGGCCCTGGCGTGGGGGGATTGGGAACTAATGGAGATCCCATAACAGGGCTGGTTGATATGATGCTTCCTCTCCCCAGTGTCTAGAAGTTGGGACAGGGGACTGTCAGCCAGGACTCCTGGGATCTAGTCTGCTGTAGTGCACAGTGGTCTGGGGCCTGGGAGGCCAGGTGGTCCAGTGGGCAGAGCTGTGGGAACCGGGGCTCCGGGGGAGAGTTTCCAGCATTGAAAGGCAGAGCGTGGTCATGGTTGGAGAAGGGATGGGCAGTCTGGACTCCTGGGTTTCTTTCCCAGCGGCATCACAGGACGGCTGTGTGATTATGACGACAAAGCACCATGCACCAGTGCCTGGTGTTGCCAGGGCTGTGTTTCATGTGCTGGATCCAGCCCTCTAGTCTGTGCAGGGCGGTCAACACCTCTCCAAGAAGCAGGGCTAGAGGGTGATGGCCCCAGCAGAGCTGGCATGACCGGCCCATGTCTCAGCCACATGAGGGTCTGGGGACACCTGGAAAGTCACAACGGGGGGACATGCCAGGGTAGGGACACGCTGCAAGGTGAGCCCACCCGTGCCCCAAGTGACGGGGCCCAGCAGGCCCCTTCCCCTGCCCCCGGCTCCTCGCTGCCTCCGTTCCAATTATCTCCCTCTTTCATCACTGCCTCGCTGTAAGTACAAAGTACCAATTAGCTAGTTTTCAAGTTTAATTAGGTTGGAAGGTAGAGCAAATTAAATCCTTTTATCGTACGTTTCAAAGAGCTTTCCCATCGAGCCCCGGGGATCGGCTGGCTTTGAAAGAGGATCGCGCTAGTCACGCGGGGGCCAGCTCGGACTCATCTGGATCTCCAGCCATGGGGCTGGGGGTGCGTGCCCTATGTTAGCCAGAGTACCCCTGCTCTTGGGAGGGCCCTGCCCAGCACATGCACTTGGTGAGGGCTCTGACTCTGCCCCCCAGGATCAGGGCCCCACATGGTCCTGGGCACAGAGGGCAACAGCAGGGAGCATGGGGCTCTGTGGGGAGGGTTGTAGGGGTCAGGGAGGTCTGAGGACCCTCCTGGCTGTAACACTCCTCTCTGCCCTGTGTCCCTTGCAGATAAGCCGCTGCCACAGGGAGCCCCGGGGGGCCTTATCGGGATCGTGGGGGGGGTGGTCGCTGCGGGGCTCCTCATCGGTGTGGCCGTCACGGTGTTCATCGTCTACAGGCGGCAACAGAAGAGCCGCTCAGAGACCGACAACGACCTGTGAGTAGCCCCTTGGCTCGTGCTGGCCCCACTCCTGGCACCCTGCCGCCTCCAGCTCTGCTCCCCTGTAGTCTGGCCCCTGGCTCCTATTTGGGGCTGGAGACCCCAAACCCACAGCCCCCATGTCTGGAGTCCCTGAATCCCAGCCCACAGCAGCCTCGGGCCTTCTCCTGAGCTGCTGCTCTGCAGGGAGCGGGATGGATGCATTTCACCTAAAAGCATTAGGACCCCAGCCAGCATCCGAAGGCAAGGTAGGCTGAAGGCCAGGGCTGTGAAGAGAAGAGAGGGAGTCCTGCTAGGCTGGCAGTGCTGGCCCTAATGCCACGAGCACAAAATACACACTTGTGCACATGCATGTCTGCGCTACCATGCACACGCATGCATTCAACCCTCAGTACAGGGCAGACCCCATCACTCCGGCTGGTGTCTGGGGCTGTTTTATCCCAGCTGTGAATGGAAGGGAATAAGTAAGCCCGTACTTGGGTCATGGGTGGATGCACATGGATCCAAGTTTGGCTCCTGGAATGACATGCGTGCATTCAACCCCCACCCAACCCCTGGCCCAGATGCAAGATACTGCCCTTGTGCATGGCATTGGTGGCTGATCCTGCCATGACCCCAGGCCATGAGTGATGACTGGGATGGCCCAGCACTGGAGACAGCACGAGGGCTCACAAGGGGCTCTGCAAGCTAGCAGTGGGGGCAGGCTTCCCAGCTGCACCCACTGCCCTGGTGCCTCCCGGGGCTGCCCTGTGGGCTAGTCTGCAGGTATTTGGGGACACACAAGGGCTGGGCTGTTCCTGCCACCTCCTCCCAGCTGAAGAGGCAAAAGCACCAGGATCTGCAGCCCCTGCTTGGCCGCCTCCTCCCAGGGGAGTAGGGCAGGTGCTATCCATGGTGCTGCTCCCTCTCAGGCCTGGCCAGGTGCTGGGGTGCACAGTGCCCCTGGCTGGGGTCAAGTCGGCTGCCCGTGGGCAAATGCTTCTCTTCCCTTGCGTGCTGCTCATGCTCAGCCCTTTGTCCTGCTGGCTGGTCTCCTCCAACCCATACATCTTAGCTCCTCTTGGCCCCACCACGCAGGCTCCCTCCCCTGCCTGGGCTGGGCAGACCCTTACCTGTTCCCCCAGGAGATTCCTGGGAGCATCTCCTGCACGGGCCCAGCTTCCTCCAGCCCTGGAGCCAGGTCAGCCCATTGTGCAGTCCTGCTCTCAGGAGCTTTTTTGCCCCATACTGGGATATGGAGACCCCACGGCTTGCATTATAAGAAGCCCTTAAAGGCAGCTGCATTTTCCCCAGCTTTGCCCATGCAATAAGCTGCCCCCGTCCCTGCACGGGAAGGAGGTGCCCTCGTGGCATCCTGCAGAGTCATCTACAGTGGGACTAGGTATGGTCTGTTGGAGTCCCGGCCCTCGCGGCACCCTTCCCACTCTCTTGTCCTGCTCTCCACTTGAGATCCACTGGATTGCCAAGGCAGCTGCTCCCCTACAAGTGAGGATCAGTGGGAGCTTGCCCAGGAGCTCACAGACTGGGAGAGGGGAGGGCAGGGGAGCCAACTCGTTAGAGTTGCACAGTTTAATGAGTTCTTAACAGGATTAGACACGTATATGCAGATGAGCCCAGTTTGCCGCGGCAGTCATTAGGATGGAGATTACAAAGGCTGCCAGTCCTCATGCTCCAGGGCTAAAGCGGATTTCCTGTTTGGGGTCAGGAATAAACTGGCCCTCATGGTGCACCATGCAGGGTAGGAAGGCTTGGAGCTGTCATCAGGAGCCTCCAGCAATGGCCATCGTCAGAGACAGGCCACCCAACTCGACACCCATTGACCTGATGATTGGCAGCTCTCACTGCCAGCTGGGCCCCGGCGTCCCACAGTAATGAGAACAGCACTTGGCTGAGGGTATTCGGGGCCCATCCTGGGTGGTACCAGGAGCTGGAGCTCCCAGCACCAGCCTCAGGGTCCCTGTCTGACACAGGGATTTGCCGGGGATTAGAAATGCTGTGCGGAGAAAAACACTCCTGGTTGCAGGAGGGTTCACAGCCATTAGCAATGCAAATGAGAGGGTGGGGAGGGAGGTGATTATCCATGTGAATCCAGTTGGTGGCATGGGCAGCTCAGTGGAAAGCTGGACTGATCCGTCCGGCAGTGTCACAACAGCATCAGGCCAGCTGGGACACAGAGGTACCAGGCAAGGTGCTGGGAAGGGGCTGGAGAAGTAGACCAAAGGGAGTGAATGAAGCTAAGGGGCCCACTCCAGATTTACACCAGTGGAAATAAGAGGGTCTATGCCAGGTCCTTGCTCCAGGGGTTCCTGGTCTGAAGTCGAGTCAGGATCGTGGCTTTCCAGAGGCAGGCTGGCCCGCAGAGAGGAGAAGACAGGGGTTCCTGGTCTGAAGTCGAGTCAGGATTGTGGCTTTCCAGAGGCAGGCTGGCCTGCAGAGAGGAGAAGGAAGCCCAGTCTCTGCACCTGCTGGAGCCCAGGGGTGTCTGGGCAGGACTCGGGCACCTGTGTGGCCTGGTGTGGTCCATCTGAGCACAGGGCATGAGCCACACTGGGGGGTGCACGGCAGGGCCCTGCCTCCCTGGTCTAACCAGTGCCTGTTTCTCTTCCTGCAGAACTGACCTGCCCCCCTCTCACAAGCCCATCCCTCCGCCAAAGAGGAAGTTGGAGATGAAAACCCACCTGACAGCAGAAGACATCCAGGTACCTGCTCCTGCCCCAGTGCCAGGCTCTGAAGACACCATGTCTGGCCCTGGCAAGCCTCAGCCTGGCATGTGGGCTAGGGGACAGTGGCCAGGGGCCCAGTGGT